CATCTTGGTTTCTTTCATGGAATCTAGTGCCCAAATGACTCTCCTCCAGCTTGCCCGTGGGTCAGTGTTAATCCACTGTGAAATCAGCTGTTTCTTCTGCTCCATCTCATTTGGAAACTTCCGTCTAATCTCCTCTACCTTTGGCCGTGGTATGTAGAGATAGTACCCAAGTCCCTCCTCCCCCCACCAATCCCCCACCTCCCTCACTTCTCTCATCACATTGGAGGGAGTGAGAGGAACACCTGCAGCAACACACACCAGAGACAACAGTCAACACACTGGGTGTAGTAGAGAGTCCAGCTGTGTACAGTGGAACCTCTGAACAAGGGACACTATGGGGCCAATGATTTTATCCTTTGTAGGGAGGTCGTCCCTATCTCGGAAGTCAAATAAAGTATTAGCATATTGGATTGAAACAAATGTCCATTGTAGAGAGGTCGTCCCTATCTCGGAGGGTCCCTTATCAGAGGTTCTACTACTGTATTATATGCCCGTGTCAAGAAAGTGATGATGTTAGCCCAGCTACGGTATAACCCTTAGTAGTAGTGAGTGTTATTAGCCCTAGTATATACTACACAGCTATGTACACTGTTTACATACTTAAGGCCCATGTATGCAGGCTGAGGGGATGACTTCTATTCAATGTGAGGAATGCTAATATGGGGGTCATACATAGACCCCATGGCACATTGATACAAAGTGAGCAAAACCAGGAGTTGGCTGTATAGCTCCTGGACGTTATAAACTGCATTTATGTGTGCGTGCTGAGTATGCATTTACTTGTGGGCTCCTGCTAGTAGCTCGGGGAGAGTTTAACACAGGCTAGCTACAGAAGTAGATAGCATGCGGGAGTCGATACAAGTCCTTCATTGTGACTTCTTGTGCATCCAAGGTACACAGAGCAGAGTGGATCAGGTCGAGGTAAGCCAGAACAATTACGCTTATGGCCTTTTTCACTTTTCATGGCATATCTCTCAAACACAGTCATTTCAGGAAAATCGCTATTGCAATGTTTTAGGATTGCGTAGTTTGGAAGCTGTTGGTATCACTCATTGGCCGCCTCATAGCCTGAACTGCCAGAATAGCTGAAGACAGATAGACAGACAGACACACACACATACCAAGTACTGTAAACCCTCTCTGCATGCACATGCCAGCTGATACTGTCTGCTGTCTTTTGAGTAGCAAGCCACACACAGAAAAGAAGAAGGGTGTCCACACTCACTTCTCTTTCCTCTCCTGCTCCTGGAGCTTTCAGGACTCTTCCTTCTGCTCAGTGGCACATGTTTGGAGTCTGCAGAGATCATTACTGGCTGTTAGTGTGTTTGTGGCTCTACGTACGTTCTCAATACATATTTTCTCTTAAGTATCAGCTAAGCTCTTATTTTCACGTGAGAATCAGGTAGCTTCCATCTTTGATCAACCTACACAGGTCGAGGCCAGGAATTATCGGTGGGTACATAGACTTACATCTCTTCCCTCGTCTGGGACTATGAGGACTCCTCCTTCCTGGTTTGACGTCCGCCATATCCTGATTGCTGAGCTATACGGGCTAAACTCACTGGGGCGAAAGAAGACAGCTCGTTCGCTGTTTGTTTATCCACGCCCAAAAACGCTGAGCTAGCTATACGCCCATTTTTCTCAACTCACGTGATTAGAGCGCATGCGCATTAAAAGGAATTGAAACTACTGCTGAAGTGTCTCTTTATAGGTGAAAGCAGCACAGAAGAAGTTGCTATCAGAGGAGTCAGTTCTATGGTTGATGTACTTAGTGAAGGAGATGGTGTCTTGGTCACAGAACACCAGAGAGAGAGCATTCCCTGATGGTGACACTGACAGCAGCTGTGAGGGGGGGCAAAAAATCAGCAAAAACTCCACTGAATCTGGCAGTAGTTGACCTAATAAACTGACCTCTTCATCTTCACCTCTGGCCACATACACTCTCACACCACCACAGTCACCTGACCACCCTGTACAGTCATAGGGAGGGGGGAGAGAGGGAGAGAGGGGGCACCTAACGTTGTCTTCTGCAGAGGAGCTCACGTTCACAGCAGAAGTGGAGGAGGAGGTGGAGCTGAGTCTCTCCAATGGAGGGGTCCTGGTCGCTGACCAGACTGTAGTCTCCAGGTCTCCAGTGCAGAAGTTCGCCTCCCACCTCAGCCACAGTCTGGCAGCCACTGGACCCTCCTCCACTAGCCCTGGTACATTGGTCTTCAGCACTAGTAGCTCCATTGAGAGGGGCTCTGTCAGTACCCTCTCTTTTAGTATCTCCTTCAGAATGATCTGTGGTTCAGGGTGTTTTAGAGCAGTTA